ATATTTGCATATACATAAGATATCTTGGAAATGGAACTCAAGTCTAAGCATGAAATTAATTCTTATTTCATATGCACCTTATACATATAGCCTGAAAGTAATTTTATATCATATTCTTAATAATTTCATGCATGAAACAAAGTTTCATGATGTGGAATTGTCCACAGTTTATGCCAGCACACAAAATATTTTCAATTTGGAGCATTTTGAATTTTCGGATTTGTGGATTAGAGGTACTTATCCTGCATGCATGATTTTTGGTGGTGGTGGTGGGAAGCTCTCCTCAGATGTTACCGATGCATCATCACTAGGGTCTGAGACCGTGTTATCTAGCAAACATTGTGTCTACCATTTTATATTACTGAAAATAATGAAATTCTTATAAAGTTATTAGAATTGAAAAATAATTATCATTACCAGAGTATGGACGACAGAGCTTAGATTCATAACAGATATGAAGCACTTCTGAATTAGATGAAAAGGATGAGGTCCAGGAAGGGATCTTGTGCCGAAATTTGCTCATATTTTGAAAGATTCCTTGTTCTTTCTGGGTTGCAAAATCGGTTTTCACGTGAAATAATAGTGTGGAAAAGAGAAAAATCTGTTAAAAGGCAGACCTAGAGATATACTGTTAAGCTGCTTCTCCTAATACCGAGATGTGCTTTGAAGTTGTTAAGAATTTCTTTTCCCTTCTACCACTAAGTTTCCACAGTGCCTGGAGATCTCTAGAAAGTGTGAAGAAGAATGGTGGTTGGGGGTTAGAGAGAGAGAATCTCTTCTTTTCTCTGCCCAGTCCTTTTCTCCACTGGGGAAGTTTAGTAATGCAAATCAACCTCTTTCTTGTGCATATGTTGCCGTTTTTTCTGTGCACAGTGTTTTGACCTTTAACCCTGCTATTTCTAAAAACAAGAACAATATTCTCAATTTGTTTCAAGTATAGTGTATTTTTTTGTCTAAAAATCCATCATTTCAGTTTCTTTGTAATATTAATGATTTGGAGCAACATTCTATGAGCAAATTTTATTCATTGCTGTTTTATTAACATCAGCAACTCGATATTAAAAAACAGCACAGAAACCAGGCTCACTCCTTAAAGCAATCACTTGCTTGGACAGTAGTCCTTAAATACATACAACATTTATTTGTGCACACATTTGTGTATATATACACATTTGTATATATGTACATATATATATACATATATGTATATATACATATATATACACATATACATAAAGTTAAAGATATAGTGAAATAGGAAACAGTTCTGTTTTCTATATATGCACTTACATTTATAAGGAGCAACCACAAGTGCACAAAATTACTGATCATTCTGAAAATAAGTATATATTATAACTTATTTGTTAAATTTTGTGCCTTGTTTTCCACAAAACTTTCACATTCTGCTTGTTGATGTACATTAATCCAATTTAATTGATAACAATTTAACTAATTTTTGGAAAATTAATTTTCCTGAGTTCCCTACATTGTTAATGTTCAATTTTTTATGCTACATTATACCTGACATGATACCTCTTAAAAAGAATAGTAATATCTTTGCAGAATTTCTGAGAATAAAGTAAAAAATAACATTATGGCACCATCTAGTGACCTAATATTTCTCTTTTTCCCTTGTAACAGTTCAAAAACACCTATTTCTGCTGTTTACACAAAACTGTGTGTGAGCAAATGCGTGGCTAGGATCAGTTTCTTTGTACATTTCCCAAGAATAAAGCAAATTGCTCTCTGCAAACTGAAATTTCAAAAATAATTTCTCACCTTGCAGAATAGAAAATGTTTGATAAACAGTTTGCTTGTTTTAGACTTAGCCAAGTGCTGCTAGAGTCAAGTGAAATTACTAAAAGTAATGAAACACATAATGAAATTACTCTACATTCATGTTTGAAGCTGAATAAAACCAATCCACCTCTAGAAAATGCTTTTTTATCAACAATGAAACTTTTTCTTGTATAACAAGATGGATAAAGCTGATTTTACTTTTCTCATACAAGCAACTGTGATTACCGATCATACAGTATGAAAATACAGACAAAGTGAAAGTAATACTGCTAATTCCACCAGAGATAAGTATGAATTTAGTACATAGCCATGGATTCTCTTTGCTAATAGGCATGAATTATTTGGTAGTATGATATGCATATTGATTTATATTTTATTTCTTGTCAACATTTCCACATTATTTTATAAATCTTATGTCATTCTAAAATTAAAGTACATTTTAAGTAGAGAATTATGGCATTTTTGTGTTTGCATGAAAATTCCAGTTATGGAAGCACTGACTTATCTTCCTGTTTGAAATATATTCTTTATATTTACAGTAGGATGTAAGAGTCATAAAATGGAGCTTGCTAAAACCATACTTAAAACTAGAGCCTTTAGGCTATAAAAAAACATCTGAGTGGATTAGACTATAAGTAAACTGAACATACACGATTGCATCCATGGCTTTAAATATCTGAGAAGAATTCTTCTCTGAGAATGGTGATATTTGTACTTCCTTCAACCTTGAAGTAAGATTTTGACAGTTACAGTAAAGGGAAATCAGAAACAATTAATCTACTTAGACTGATATAGTGGAAAATGAAAACAAAATTACATTAAATTTTAGATTAAACAATTTATAAAATGATGAAAAAGAGTTTGTGAAAGGAAAATTATATATTGTAGGGTGTGATTTCTTTTTTTCCTCTCATTGAGTTTATTGGTTGATTTTAGGTATACAGTACAGCTACATTCATCACTGGGATCCTGTACCTTCACATGACAGGTCTTGGTTCTCACTTTTTCCCCTTGTCCCTGCCCTCCCTTCACCCCTTCCTCCCCACCCCATTTATAAATACTTTATTTCCATTTTTTTCATTTTCTCCTATTTTTTTCTTTTCCCTTATTACCTTTCCCCTACCCTTGCCACTTTCCCTACACCTTTAGCCCTTTTCCTATTTCACATTGTCAATTATCTCATTAGGATCTTACGCACTATTGTAGTTTTTCACACCAGAGAAACTATTCAGTATTTACACATGTGTGACTTACTTATTTCACTGAGGAGTATATCCTCCATATGTATCCATTTTCCTATGAATGAATCTAATTTCTCATTCTTTGGGTGTTATTTCTTGATACAAAAGGTGGGAGGGCTCATTAGTAGTATGTGATATCCATTTCCCATCACTTTTCCTTTCTAACTGACGATATACTTTTATCAGTGTGGAACAGGCAATGGATCCAAAAAATACAAAAGGTGACTTGTCTTCTTTTCTCTGTACTGCTTTACATCTAAAGAGAGGCTGCTCAATGATTCTTTTTCTGACTCACAAATAAAGATACATACTAGAGTAATCTCTGCGTAACTAATCTAAATCAACTGGTTTTCATGAATGACTTCATCTATCTTCAATATTTTCTTCAACTCTCAGGTGGTTGAGATTAAATATTGCTTCTGTGGTGCCTTTGTGACTTATTTGTCTAAAATATATGATATTTAGGAGTATACTCCTAAGTGAAATAAGTAAGTCACACATGTGTAAATACTGAATTGTTTCTCTGATGTGAAAAACTATAATAGTACGCAAGATCCCAATGAGATAATTAACAATGTGAAACAGGAAGAAAAGGGCTAAAGGTGCAGGGAAAGTGGGAAGGGTAGGGGAAAGGGAAAAAAGGAAAAGAAAAAATATGAGAAAATAAAAAATGGAAATAAAGCATTTATAAATGGGGAGGGGAGGAGGGGTGAAGGGAGGGCAGGGAAAAGGGGAAAAAATGAGAACCAAGACCTGTCATGTAAAGGTACAATATCCCAGTAATGAATGCAACTGTACTGTATAACTAAAACTTATCAATAAACTCAATAAAGAGAAAAAAATATATGATGTTTATCTGAGGGTTCTGGAAAATGCTTTTTTCTCTCATATTGACAATGAGGGCCTGAGTGTATGAAGATCTGTTTAATAGGATGAGTAATCTATTAGTCCCAACAAAACAGAAGACCCTCTTGTAGAAGTCCATATTTCCAGTATAGCCCCATTAATATTACTCCAGGATCAGCTCATATAAGAATGAATATTGTTTAATCACTTTACATTTATATGTGCATAGGAATTTGGCTGTTTCTAGTGGGATCGCATACTCTCTGCTTTGCTTTTGGTCTTTAAATATGTAATTGTTGGCTAAAGTCAAAGCAGTAGTCTACTTTGTAAACTTTCCAGGCAGCTATTTTGCTTCCTCATCTGAACAGAAACTGAAATCCCTAAGATTGGGTCAAATTATGAGCCTAGCTGAGAAACACCATCACCGACAAAAGGCCAAAGCTTGTGAGTCTGATAAATTTTTTGGTCATCTGTTGTGATGATTCTAGAAGCAGAAGGGAGACAAATGGCAGGTGTGGAGGAAGAAATATCTCACTGGAAGCTTCAAGAAGGAGGAGGTGCCAAAAAGTGTTCCTCGGAAACGGGACGCAGAAGCAGGTCTTGTATTTTAGCTATGTCAAGTTCGCTGCTTTCATTGTGACTCGTGAAAAAACAGAGGCAAAAGGTAATCCCTCGAAGCACATAATTTGTTAGGATGAAATGAGTAGCAGGAGGCCAAAGAGTCAAACATGAGACAGTTCACTGAGAAAAAAGGAACCTGCACACGGTCTGTGCTTGAATTTCAGGCTTTGTAGTTGCTAGTTATGAAAACTTTAGACATACTTTTCATCCCGTAACATTCAGTTGACTCATCTGTTGACCTGAGTAATAATACCACTCATTTTAGAAACTGTGTGAGGACTACATGGGATAATGCAGGAAAATCTTTTGAGACAGACGCTCGGATGTAATAATGAACAATAAAGTGCAACCAGCAAGAGAAGCTACATTCTCTGCTTCCACCTCCAGTCCGCAGTCATCGAACCATGATGATTGTGACAAACAGCTAACATTCCATGAACATTGCCCCAAAGAGCTACTGTTTGCATGAGAATTCCAGGAAAGCACAGTGAACATCTTGGTGAGACTACACAGCACAGACTGGATACAGCACCAGTGCAGCTATGGCCTCGTTCTTTTCCTTTAGTTTCATTTTTTGTTGCTGTTCAGGAATATTGTGGAAGGAAAGGTACGTGCTATATAGAGATAACTTGAAAGACTGAGTTTTAGCAGTGAAGAACACTGAGCTAATATAAAGGGATTCTTTTTTCATATTTTATTCACTTTCAATACTTTTCTATTATTAACTCTCAAAACAAACTGATTTCCTGGTTGAAAAACAATGCATTGACCGCATAGTCATTTTTCATTTTATGCAGTTACACAAATCTTCTAAATACACAATTTTCTATTCATGGCAAATAAGATGAACTGTACAGTACATTTAAGCATGTTTAGAAGCAATATAAATGTCTATACAAAACAAGTAAAACTGAAATAAATTTTTAGTTTTGAAGTATTGCAACAGGCCCGCTGGTTTGTAACAAAAATATCTTTGTGCAGTCCCTCACAAGTTCCCATTAATAGCTAAAACAAGCCAGAAGTTTTTAGAAAATGATGTTACAAAATGCTGCCAGTGGATTCTTGTTTCTTACATGAATAATAAAGATCAATAACAACCAAAACCAAACAAAGCCAGAGAGGAGATGCGTAAAGAAGGTGGCATCAGATTGGTTAAATTCCTTTCCCTGCATCGGGAATATTCCTGCAAGTTCCTATTTGACTCTTGCAGGAGTAACTCAACAGAGAAGTAGCCCAGTCCAAATAACTACAGCCTGGCTGCAAGTTTCTCCAGGTCTGGGGCAACAAGGAAACAGAGTCCAAGGTCATAGCAAGGGCGATTCGTGCCTGAATAACAGATTTGAAACATTTTACTGGAGTAAAAGTTAAAGAGATGAATGGGAGTGGGAGTTGCTGGGGCAAGGAGAGAGGAAGTGGACACAGAACAGAGATGAGATATGTATACATGCAAAGACCGCATAATGAATATCTTCTTTAATATTCAAAATCTATATTAATAAAGAAGTTAAACAAGAGATGTTGTGTATTTAAAACAGATATAACAGATGATGAGATGCCAAGTGCTCTCTACAATTATCTTGTATAAGAATTGTAAATATTGCCGGGTGTGGTGGCGCACACCTGTAATCCAAGCACTCAGGAGGCCGAGGTAGGAGGATCACTGTGAGTTCAAGACCAGCCTGGGCTATATAGTGAGTTCCAGGTCAGTCTCAACTACATAGTGAGACCCTGTCTCAAAAAAAAAAAAAAAAAAATTGTAAACACACAAAAACACAGAGTTGTAAGTATAACATAAGTAATATGTAGATAAATATATACATATCACCTTACAGCATTTGTGTTATGATAACAAAATACCAGAGATGAGGTAGTTTATGAAGAATGAATTTTACTTCTCACAGTTGTGGAGGTTCAGAAGTCCAAGATTAAGGGACTTTTAGGTTCTGCTGTTCGCCGAGGGCTACTTGACCTCCACGGTGGTGCCTGCCATGTGTCCTCCAGAGGTGGGCAGTGCCGTGTCCTCACAAGGCCAAGGCGGGAGGAACCACAAACCAGCTGAATGGTCTGAGAAACATCTTTTATGAGACCATAATCTCATGAAAAGGTGAGAAGCTCCCATAGTGAAATTACCTCTTACAGAACCCACTGTAGTGTTAGTCGCATCTTAAAGAATTAATATCACATTAACCTTTAAGTTTCAGTGCTTCATAACCTGAATGGTGGCGACAAATACAAGTAAAGAAATACCACACAAAAGCTGTGTATACAGATATGTAGATAGATAGATGACAGAGGGAATTTTTGCTTAAGGAAAGCTAATATAGATTGTGTAATTTTGAGCTTGAATTAGTTCAAGTTCCAGTAGAATAATACTATTTTCAGGGGTAACTAACTTCATGAGAATGTATCCAAATTCGGTGCAATGTTTTCTATATATTTATCCTCAAAGTGTTGAGTGCTACACTAGTGATTAGTGGGAAGAACTCTGTAAGTTGATAAATCTTTCTTGTTTCCTACAGGCTCTCTCTATGAAACAGGAAGACTCTCATGGAAAAAGATATTTTAATATTTGTCTATAGGTTTATTTTATTTAAATCAACAACTTACTTCATGATTGTCAATATGCATTACTTTAATAGATCTGCAATGTAAAAAAACTGCTTGAACAATAGGTGTTTATTTTCTTGTAGTTCTGGATCTCAGAAGCCCAAGATCAAGGTGTTCCAGGGCTGATTTCGTCTGTAGCCTTTTTCCGTGACTTGGAGATGACCACCTGCTTGCTATCTCCTTACAGGGTATTTCTATGTGCCTGATGTGTCTCTATGCGTCTTAATCTCTTCTTTTGAAGAAACTGGAGAAATTGGCTGAGTGCCCACCTCAGGAGCCCTCGCTTACTTAATCACTTTAAAGGCTGTGTTTTCCAAAGAGCCCTATTCTGAGTTACTGAGCATTAGAGCTTCAACATATAAGTTTTGGGGAAGAAAAATGATCCCATAATACTCCACTTTCTGAAACCCCCAATTTTATGTCCCTCCAAAAATGCACAATATTCACCTGCATCCTAATGGCACCAAAGTCTTACCTCATTTCTGCATCCACTCGGAGTCTCAAATCTATACTAAGTCAAGCATGTATGAAATTTGAGTTATAATTTATCTTGAGGCAAAACTCCTCCCTTGTGCTTATGAAACCAGGTTGTATCTGCTAACAAATGCAATGACAAGACAGCTGCACAATAGATGTTCTCATTTCAAATGGAAGAATTAGGGACTGGGGATTTAGCTCAGTGGTTCTGCTACCTGCCTCAGAAGCACAAGATCGAGAGTTCGATCCCCAGTACCAACAAACAAACAAACAATCAAATGGAAGAATCAGAAAGAAGGGAGAGGTCAGGGGTCCCAAGCAAGCCCCAATCCTTACAGGGAAGTTTTTATTTGATTGTAAGTCTCAAGAAAACTCCTTTTTGGTTGGATGCTTTGTGGCCTGGATTTACTGGGGAGGCAGCACCAACTTGTAACCCTTCTAGGATGGCAGCATTGTTCTCTTCATGTATGGACCACAGTCGGTCTTGCTGTGAACTTTTCAGTGGCGGTCCTGTGCCTAAAGTTCTAGGCTAAACTGAGACACTGAACTTGATTAGGTGGCCCTCCCCTCTGAGACCAAGGAGCAGAAAGCCTTGTTCTAGTTAGAGATCAGAAAGGGACAGGTAGAAAGTGGTAGCTCAGAAAGAAAGGAGCACAGTGATTCCAGGTGGCCTCTGAAGAACACTGCTGAGTACAGAATCTGTTCTCAGCTTTACTGCTTGAGAAAATATAAACAGAACCTTCTAATTTCTGTTGTTTGTGGTCAAACACGACCCTGGCTAATACACTAACTCAAAGTGCCTCAAAAACTAAAAGAGGAATGAATTACTTAAAAATATATGAATTTTCTGTAATCAACTAATTTTAGATATCTCTGTTGTTTGTGCTTAAATGACCTATACACACATACATACAAAGATATTTCCCCCTGTATTTTCTCTAATTCCTTTATGTCATAGCTCCTTTCAAGTGGACTTTCACCACGGATTTAGTAAAGTAGTTCCAGAAGTGCCAGATTTGTATCTTACTAGCTACAGTCCTGCAGATAGTGAATTCCATTTTCTTCATCATTTTAGCACAAATCTCCAGATTTTGTAGATTGACATGTCTATTGTCCAAATAAGCACTGTTATTAAGGAGTGTAATAGATATATCGGTAAAGTTATGAAATATTCTTTATCCTCAAAGTAAAGCCAGGCTATGATTAATATAAAAATAAAAATGGGGACTGGAAGAAAAAAGCGACAAATAACCATTAGCAGCCTTGGTGGACATTTCACCAAAATATGCATCATTGCTTATTCTCTCGCAAGATGCGCATTTACACTGAGTAGTTAGAAAACAACTGTATTAATAATGTCAAATATATTTTTAAAAAAATGATCGGAAAGATGAATGAGAAAGTGAAAAGAAGGGAACTAGAGGAGAGAGAGAAAGAGAGGGAGATAAAATAGAAAAAAAAAAAGATTGCTTGGCAATGTTATTTCAGTTTTTCAGTCTAAAAATCTGACCCATTATTTTCATATCTATTTTTTCAATTTTTTTCTCATTGTTTTATTTTCCTGTGTTAGATAATAAGATTGAAGGCAGGAGGATTTCTGCTCAGTTACTCACAGACAGAGTCTGGATAATGCAATTATGATAACATAGGAATGGATTTGAGAGTTTACTGACACATAGAATTTGATTATCTCTTTTATTCACTTGAGTCACCTGTTTTATTTTTCTTTTCTCATAACCAAACCAGGAAGAATCAGTCATCTCTAGAGAGTGGTTATTACATTTTTGCTTAATATTTTTAGACTCAAGTAATTCACACCTCTGTTAAGGTTGGGGGCTTTTGAAATGTTGAAATGCTTGCCAGAAATGAACTCATTTACAGAGTCCCTATCCTTGTGTCACAAGCCAGTGATTCAATAAACTAATGTCGGATCTTGAATATTTACCTAATCATCTAGAGTCCATTATTATAATCACACCGAATCATGTGGCCTTAAATGCTTATGAGTAGAATGATGTGCATGACCTTACCTCTTACAGCATTCAGCAGCTCCCAACTTGCTACTAAAATGATACTTTTAATCATTTTATTTGGGCAGAGGTGGGAATATATTCATATTACATTTCCTTCAATATTTACTAAAAATCCATAGAGAAAAAAGAATGTGTTATTTACATTTATGCAATGCCAGATACATCTCAGCTGCTCAATAGCCTCAAACACAATGACCAATTTCATTAATGCAGAAAAATGAAATATTTACATTTAGACTAAAATAGGTTATTCATACATATTGATATACTAAGGTTTCAGATTTCAGCATAGAGATAATGATGAAATTTAGAAAACTATTTTCCTTCCAGGCTCTTTTCTTTCTCTGCTTCCTGGCTTCCCAGCAATGAACATCTTTCTTCGGCCTTATCTTCCCATCACGCCCTTCATGCCATGGAGCTAGCCAAGTACCGACTGAAAACATGAGCCAAAAAACCTCCTCTTTAATATGTGGGCTTACGATATTTTGTTCCATGTAATGCTTACAGTGTGCTAGACAGGGTTAATCACTGGCTGAAGACATGCGTCCCATCCTCATACTCTTCAGCCTAAGAGCAGTTGCCTGTGTGAACAGTTCCAGAACAATCACACGTGTGGTATACTGAAAACAAAATGTTTGAAGCATTTATATCAGATCAGTTGTATTCAGGGAGGCTTTGTGGAAAAGCTAACATTAGAGTGGATTCTGGAAGGATAAAGAAAATTGCATTGGAAGAAAGATTTATTCATCCCTCACCCGTTACCCCTCAGTCTCACCCCTATTACCATTTTAGAACTGTCAACTTTGTCAGGCAACAAAGGAAGGAAGTGGTGGTGTTCACTGCAATAGTATGTTCAGCAACACCTATGGCTTCTGTTCCAACAACATGCAAGTGACAATTCCGTAGTCATGACCAGGGAAGATGCCTGCAGATATTAAATGTCCTATGGGTAGGGGATCCTAATTGACCCTGGTTAAAGGCTAGAAGTTAGCAGAGAAACAAATATCCCCAAGTCGGAGTTCACCAATCACATTTTAGCATGGTCAGAGTTCTACTGAACACAGAGGGAGGATGCAAGAAGTGCCTACAAGTGCGAGTGGCACAGAGCCAGTTAGACTACATTTCACAGGCAACTGGAAGCCATAGAACAGCAGCACCATAAGACTATCCTAGGAAGCATCAATGGGCTATGCTGCAGGGAAGTTGAGTTGAATAATTTAGATTTCTTCTTTGCCTCCAAAATATATTCTCCGTAGTATCATGTGGAACTTATTTACTTATTTTTTTTCTAGTTACTACTTCCATAATGTTTTACTTATTTTTTCTAGTTACTACTTCCATAAATAAAAAAGTAACAGCACGTTTTTCTATCTGTTCAGACTTGATTGATTTATACAGAGGAGAATACTAAATACGTAGCAGTTTAAAAATCCTCAGCAGTGCCGGGGCTATAGCTCAGCGGCGCCACCGCCTGCCTCGCAAGTACAAGGTCCCGAGTTTGATCCCTGGTACCAAAATAATTAAATAGATAAAATAAAAAATAAAAAATTCGTCAACATAATCACCACCATCATCATTTTAATTTAGCTTCATCTAATTTTTCATGACTGTCTGAAATTTCCAGTTCTCTCTGTTAACATAGATGTGTCATCGGGTACAAGTCAATATTCAATATTTCCATACTCCATAAAATTCTATTTTTTTTTTATTGAGTTTATTGGTACATTTAGGGATACAGTACAGTTACATTCATTGTTGGGATCATGTACCTTTACATGGCAAGTCTTGATTCTCATTTTTTTTAAAATTCTATTTAAAAACATAATGAATACTCCTGCTAGTGTTCCTTCTAAATTGCGTTTTACACATTGTCTTTAAAAGTCTTCCATTGTCTATGGCATTATTCTTCTCAATGCCATCTTTCTTTGATGATTTTCTAAATGTGAGGGTTATTTCTTCTTGCATCTTCTGAGGATTACAAATGCCATGACCCGGATGATCCTGTGCTGCGTTTTTCTCGTGTGCATCACGACAACTGTAACAATGCAGTCTGTCAGATTCACCCTAGTCAGCAAGCTTTCAGAGAGCGTCCCAAGCATGTTGGTAAATGCTGTGTAACTATGTCATGCAACTTTACAAGAGTATAATTCTAAAAGAGAAAAAAAGTATAATTCTGTTTGTAAATTTTCAAGCAAGTAAGAACACAATGTATACTCTCCACTCAAACAAACTTTCTTGTAATTGTAAGAGAAATGCAAATGTGTAGTGGTGTGCGCGTGTGTGTGCGTGTGTGTGTGTGGATGTACGCACACTTTTTCCTGTTTGGGAAAACATATAAAAGTCTCCCAGAATTTAAATTTACTTAGAGAATTTACCAAGTTCTGACTCATATTCTCCCTGTTGAATATTTGTCATGAATAAAGTAAACTAAT